AACGTATGTAGCAGGTTTATGAAGCGTATGCGAAATGTCTGCGACACGCAAACAAAACGAATGCGCAATGTATTTGCGACGAGTATGAAACGTATATGGGAAGTATACGACACGTCTGCGGAACCGTATGCGGCACGTAAACGCAGCGTATACGAAACGTATAGAAAAGAACAGCATGAAACATGCGCGGAACGTATGTGAACCGCACAGGAAACGTACATGGGACGTGCAGAAAGCGAATAAGGCAAGCGTAGGAAACGCAGGCAGAAACGTATTCATGGAACGCAATTGAAACGTATAGACATTCAGGTGAAACGCATGTGATACCTATATGGCACCTTTTTGAGACGCACATGGAAGGTATATGAGATTGGGACCAGCGCATTTGACATTGAATTCCTGTTGATTTGCTAGATCGAATGTGAAATACCCCGCGGCGGGCTGGGATCGGCGCATTTCCTATTGAATGCCGATTGGACAAACACCGATGGAATATATAATAACTTCACGGTTGGCTGGGATCTTCGCATGTCTGATTGGCTTCCTTTTGAACACGCAATCAGAGAATAGTAACCAATTTAGGGGGAGGCTGGGACCAGCGCGTTTCCGATCGAATTCGCATTGGACGAGCAACGTGTGAAACAACCATGTTGCAGGCTGGGGTCGGCGCACTTCCTGTTTGGATTCTCGATCGAAGGACAACATGTGAGAAATCTGCGGGGGCTACGATCGGCGCATTTCATATTGAATCCTGAATGGAAGATAAATCGAACATTGGCGAATTATGCTGGAGGCTGGGGTCGGCGCGCGTGCTATTCAGTGGCGTCCATGTGAGAAGAATCAACGAATATGATATTGAATAATTTTGCTGGAGGCCGGGATCGGCTAACTCCGGGGGGGTATAAGTCCCAAGTGAAATCAAACCGAAAAATTAAAGAATTTTATTGGGGGCTGGGATCGGAGCATTTGTAGTTGATCGGCAAATTTTACAGAATGTTGCCTGAGGCTGTGGTCGGCGTATTTCCGATTGGGTTCGCTATCGAGTAACATAACAAACCATGTGAGAGTCTTGCGGTAGGCTGTACCGGCGCGTTTCATTTAGAAGTCCGCTTAGCAAATAAATAAAACATTGGAGCATTTTGCTGAAGGCTGGAGTCGGCGTGGCTCCTATGTATTGGCAGCTTCCGGAAAACACATCGGATATTTGACAGATTTAGTGGAGGCTGCGATCGGGGCATTTCCTGTTGAATTTCTTTGGGGAAATAATAACATATTGATGACTCCTGGGCGGGGGCTGGACATGGCGCATCTGCAATTTGTTTCTTGTTAAGAGAATGTCGAAGAATTATGCTGGAGGCTGGGATCCACGCATTTGTTGCAATTGAATTAGGATTGAGAAACAAGCAACCCCTTAAATAATTTTGCGGGAGGCTGGGATCAGCACGTTGTCGTTGAATGTTGTCGTGTGGCCCCTAAATTTAAACAAGTGAAAGCTTCCTGCGGAAGGCTGGGGCAAGTGCATTTCTGATTGAACCCATCTTGGAAACAAAGTTGATACACTATCAGATACTTTTGCTAGGGGCTGGGGTCGGCGCATTTCCTATTGGTGTCCAGTTAACAAACATAAAATACCATCGTCTGTTGCTGGAAGCTGGGGTCGGCGCATGTCCTATTGAACCCTCACTCAAACCAACAAATTGGAAACATTGCAAGAATCCTTCGGGAGGCTGGGACCGGCGCATTTGCAAGTGGATTCTTTTTGCAAACAAGTATAAGATTGAAGGGACCTGCCGGAAGGAGTGGGATTGCAGCATTTCCTATTGACTGCCCCCAGACAAGCACAGAAAATGTTAAAGAGTCTTGCGGGAGGCTGGGACCCGCGTGTTTGACATTGCATCCCAGTTGGGAAACAAAAATATGAATGAATTTGTGGAAGGTTAGGATCGACCCATTTACCATTGGATCTACTGTTGGGGTCTCTATTGGGAAGTCAACCGAATATGAAATAGTTCTGCGGGATGCAGGGGCCGGCGCACTTCCTATTGAACCCCGAGTGAAAGCACATAAGTATAAATGCATCTTGTTGGAGGTTGTGATCGGCGCATTTTTTGTTGAAATCCGATCGCAAGAAAACAAATAAAAACATTAAATAATCCGGCGGGAGGCTGTTATCGGCGCGTTCCCAAGTAAATAACGAATATTCAAGAATTTTACTGGAGGCTGGGAGTGACGGATCTCCTAAATTGTGTTCTGATTGAACAAGACGTATCGTGAAGCGCCCGTGTAGTGCCTGAAGCGCTTGGAGGCTTAAACCAGCTCCGCTGGGATCTGGGCCAGTCGGGTCGTATTGCACATTGGTTGGTCTCTGAACCGTCCCGTTGCAGTCTGAACCGTCCCGCCGGGGTCTGGGCCTTTCCCCTCCTGAGGCGCTCCCTCGGCTCGGCGGCGCGTCGGCGCCCCGTCTCCCTTCCCCCCGCTGCCGCGCCGCCTCCGGGGGGTT